CGATCTCACTATCGATCTCACTCAACGGGACACCACGGGACACCTTCGGGCACCACATCGGTCTCAGTATCGATCTCAGTGTCGATCTCGTTCATCGGGACACCGCGGGACACCACGGGACATCTATCGATTTCACTAACGATCTCACTATCTATCTCGCTTTTTGGGACACCACGGGACACCTCGGGGCACCACATCGATCTCAGTATCGATCTCAGTATCGATCTCAATATCGATCTCACTCATCGGGACACCACGGGACACCACGGGACGCCACGGGACACCACGGGACACCGCGGGACACCACGGGCCACCGCCGAACGGGCGGGCGGGGGAGAATCATTTGTCTTGACTTCGCCCTAGCAACGTCGGACACCACGGGACACCACGGGACACCGCGGGACACCGCCGAACGGGCGGGCGGGGGAGAATCATTTGTCTCGACTTCGCCCTAGCAACGGCGGGTTCATTCCTCTCGCGCGCCCACAAGCACGACACGAACGAAACGAAACGATTTCCCGGTTGGGTGTCTCCATTCCACTGCGATCTTACCCCCCAACCTCCGATCTTCAGTGTTGAACGTGAGTTCCTCCGCCAGGGCTGGAGCTCAAGACGTGCAAAAACGCTCGAAAGAGATCCGCGGCGGAATCAAGATTGCTCCTGGAGTCCAGTACTTCGAGTTGGGCTGCACCCGCAATCGCACCGATGGGTACCGAGGACCCCTGTCCATGCGATAGCGGTCATCAAATACGCCTGCTCGCGGAGTAGGGTGCACGTCCGCTAAGACGATGTCAAGAGGATGCTCAACCTTTGCCTCGTTCCATTTGAAAGACACGGTACGTTTTTGCCAGAACACCACCCTCTGATTTCGATGCCAGCGAGAACAAAGCCAGCACCCTCCTGCTGAGGCACTGGGCAAAAAACGATCCCTTTGAAGTGCATCGATTCGATCCGTGAGGTTCCCGGTGGACTCCTGCAAACTTCACATCCGAGATTGGAAAGTCTTTAAATCACGATGGGACTCACAATGGAATTCAACTATTCACTATAGACCTGAAGTGGATCGACTCTACGGGATGGCGGCAAACGCTGCTACTGCCCTCCTCGTCCGCCTCCTCCTCCTCTTCCTCCTCCTCCACCCCGAAGCCCTCCTGCTTCCGGAGCCTGCCGCCACGCGCCAGGAGGGGCGCGGAGGAGGGGGAGGCCGGGGGGGGGGCGGGAGGCTGGAGCAGGAAGGGCGGGAGGCCGCGGAGGAGGGCGAGGAGGGGGAGGACGGAGGAGGGCGTCTAGATACTTGATACTAGCGCGCCTGGTGATGTCCTGTCGATTGGTGTACATCTCAGCTCCGTGGCTTGCCTACAGCTCAGCGTAAGTAGAGAAAACAAGCCTTATCTCTCACAGAAAATTGCAGAGTGCGAGTAGTTTTTCATTCGCAGCTCTGGTAGCAGACCAGCGGCGGGAGGAGGGGAGGGGTCGGAAGGGGGGGGGACGGGGGGGGGGAGGGCGAGCGGGGAGGGAGGGAGGGCCGCTTCGCTCGGCTTCGCTTCTGCTGCAGTGCGCCGAGGGCGTTCTTCTGGGCCGGCCCGTGGCGGGCTGCTGCTCGGAGCTGTCGTGCTCGCTTGCATTTGGACGCCCGAAATGGGTACGGAAAGAATGGGCACAATGCCCAACAGCAAATGTTGTCCCGAACCAACAGCGGCCGCCGTTGGGCAGGCGGCCTTCTGTCTCAAATAAACACAGGCCGCGGCGGCGTGGACAGCGAGTCCTGCTCAAAATGGACAGGAACTGCTGTCGGTCTTTGTACCCATTATTTCTGTACCCATGTGATGGGCGTGTTTTCCACCACCACCACCATAAGTTGCAGGGGGGGGTCCTCCTCCTCCTCCTCCTCCTCCTCCTCCTCCTCCTCCTCTTCGTCCTCCTCCTTCCCCCCTCCAACTTATGGTGGTGGTGGTGGAAAACAGGCTCATCACCCGTGGCGGGCTGCTGCCCGGAGCTGTCGTGCTCGCTTGCAGGAGCTGGGGCCGCGCTCGCAGCCCCGCCTGCGCAGCCTGCGCTTCGAGGCCGCCGTCGGCGGCAGCATCATCGGCGGCGGGCGGGGGCTGGAAGCGAGAATGGGGAGGGCATTCTCAGAAGGCGGCGGGGCTTCTCGGAAGCCCTCGAGCCTTCTCAAGTGTTGTCTGCGTCTTCGGGGGCGAGCGAGGGCTGGAAGCGAGAAGGGGAAGGCCTTCTCAGAAGGCGGCGGGGCTTCTCAGGAGCCCTCGAGCCTTCTCAAGTGTTTTCTGTGTCTTCGGGGGAAGCTTAAGACATCTCTCAGAAGGCTGGGGGGCCTCCGGGCCTTCTGCCCAGAAGTCCACCTCATTCTCACTCTCCCCCCCTCGCTCGCCGCCGGCAGAAATACCCTGGAGGCAGGAGACTCTGAACACCTATTCTGCACAGCTCACGATGGGAGGCCACGACGGGCTACCGATTTGGAGGGCTTCGGTAGGGAGCCCACACAGGACGTACGCGTCGAACCATGCACATGAACACGGGCCCTCGATCCGCGAGACCGTCCGCGTGATACGAACATTCGCGCAATGCATACTCTCGAAACCAACGTGGAGTCATGTACGTGTACAAGGGCTCCCAACTTCGCGCTTCGCGCTCTCGCGCCGCCTCCCAAGGGAGAAGAGGAGGACGAGGAATCGGAGCCGAACCGCGAAGCGCGAATAACTTCGCGCCCTCGAGGGCGCCCTTGGTGTACGTCCTTCTTTCGCTCCTTATTCGGGGGCCCCGAAATTTCCTCTCCCTATTTCTTTACAGGCCGCACGGGGGTGCCGGGCGGCTCCCCCCAAAGCGAAGCCTTCCAGGCTCCGGGTCCCCTAATGGCTCCCTTTGAAGGGGCCCTGGGACACACAAATAAATTCACACCAATAACCTGATTCCCTATATTTTCCCATATTTTCTGGGTTTTTGTCTTCCCCCCACTTCCCATATTTTCCCATATTTTCTGGGGACTCGTCGATTAATTGTGTCTGTTTTTTTTTTCCCCCTCCCTTGGACGCCCCTGCAGAAGACCATGTGGGTGTCGGGGAGCTCTCCGAAGCCACAGCTGGGCCTTGACGACGGGCCCAAATCGGTCAGGAGGGCAGCCGAACGGGCCCCCGACGCCCCGAACACGACCTCAAGAAGACCCCCACGAGGCCTTCGAAACGCAAGCAATGATTGGCTTCCCCTTGGTATCTGTATGATTTTTTGGATGCTCCGTTCTTTGGCCTTCTTTGACCCGAACATCGCCCCAAAACTATCCGAATGGGCTTCCAGGCAATCCAAGGAAACCCCAAGACGGCCCAACAGGGCCCCAAGATGGCCCGAAGAGAGCCCCATGACGACGGCCCAAGATGGCCTCAAGACGCTCCCCGAAGCATTCCAAATCGTGGCCGGTCGTTCAGGGAGGCCGCGGTTGGAAGCAGGGTGGCCCGAGGAGGCCCCCAGGGGCCCCCAGAAGGCGCCCAGGAGGTTTCCAGAAGGCCCCAAGAGGCTCTCCAAGGAGGAGGAGGAGGAGGAGGAGGAGGAGCCACCGCAAAAAAGAAGCTAAGGTGGATGTGGAAGAATTCGTAGGGTAGGGCGAGGACAACGAAAAGGAAACTGATATATGAGGTAAAGAAAACGACCAAATATATAATAACGATGATGTCGGAAAAGGCAACAAGGATTCTTCGCTCAATTATATGTTTGCATCCCAGCCCTTTCCACCTGCGTGCCACAATTCAAAGACCGCAGTGTATGGTGCAAAGCGCCAATGCGTTCTTGTATGCGTGAATTTGTATGTGTCGCAATACTTCACAGCAGACGACAGGGTTGAAGTGGATGAAAACACGCGCGTGGAATCACTCTGCATCAACTCCTGGGCCCTGCCTAACACCCACCCGCCCGCCCCAATGCACGGCGGGACCACCGCCGACACGGAACGGCCACGGGATCCCCACGGCCCTCAAGGGCCGACCAACGCCTGGGGGCCTTGGGGGCCGCTCGAGCGGACCCCAGAGCCCGAAACCGTGATGAGTACCCGGGCAGGGGTAGGGTGGCCCCTCAGGGCCAACACGAGGAAAGAGTGAAACGTTCCCCCCTCGCAGGGTGGTCTGAGAGTGGGCCAGGAAGAGCTGCGACGCACGGAGCAAGCGATACATTCAACGGGGGGGTCCTGCCCCCTGCCTTTGCATGCGCACCACCGCGTTTCCACAGCGGGCGTCAAGGACAAGGTGTATACGGGCATGCGGGGGGAGGGAATCATCCTGTCTCAGCTCCTGGGCCCAGTCTAGCAGCCCCCACCAGTGCACGGCGGGGGTATGCCTGCATGTCTGTATGTCTGCATGTCTGCATGCATGTGAATTCAGTCGGGCTGCTGAAAGAAGGAACGCTAAATAAGGAACGAAGCCCCTCTGCGGCTTCAAAAAAGCCTGGGTGCACGAGAAGGGCTAGAGGAACAAACACGGAAGGACGTAAGGAACATCGAGCCCCTTCCGAATCCAAGCTGTTCCTGATTTCAGCGTCTTGGCTGTATGTCTGTATGAATGTCTGTGTATACTCATGTGCGTATGTGCGCGGGTATAAACTCTTCACGCTGGCACTGGTCGCAACGGCGGGAGCGGGGACCGCGAGGGCTTGGGGGGCCCTCTGGGGCCCCTAGACCTGGCCAACACTGGCGCTTTTCTGGAAACGACGGCCGCGGCATCCCATGTGTGATTGCAATCGATCGATGGTTCC